CGAGTTTGGTGGTTGAGAATTTAGCCATGATCTAGCTCTATCCTTCAATGTGTAAAGGAAAAGCGTTAAGCATAAGGCTTCTTGTGTAACTCCGGGWATTTTAAAATGATCCGTCATTTCGATAAAAGATTTTAAATGAGAGTGCGGATCTTCCGACGATAATCCCCTAAACTGACCCATTGCGGAAATCATTTGGAACATTACTGGTTTTGGTTCAAAAGCTGTGGCTGTCATTTCGGGCCTACCAATTCCCGCAGCCAACTGACCGAATTCGGGAGTTGCGTAGTCCCGTATGCCTCTATTTTTTTCATCGACAATATTAACCGTGGCCTCCCGTGGAGGTGGATTATCCCCCATGGTATGGTTACAATTATTTCTACCACTTCTACGTCTTCTAATGGTTCTTTCTAATTCAAGATCAAGAGGTAAAAGTTCACCGTATTGTAGCCTTGGCATACAACATGGGAAGTACGAGTGAAACAAAAGAACAAGGCTCAAATGAAAAATCAATATCTCAAGATAAAAATTGCGTTCCCTTCCCCGACTGCGGCGCCAAAAACTTGGCAGGAAGGGATCGTTCGTGTTCACCTAGTGGACATAATGTCCCCACAGTGGCGGTGCAAGTGCACACGACACTATGATCGCTTGCAAGTAATAAAGTGGTACAAAGTACCGAGATCGTTCCCACAGAGAAGATACTGAGATTTAGAGACTTTTCATGAACTTTTTGCACGAGTTTCGATGTAAAATAAAGTTGGATTTTTGTTTATAAAAAGACCGAAATAAGAACGACTAGCTTAATAACGAAATAAACTTCTAATATTAAAAGATGGGCATGGGTGCAAGTGTTGCTTAAGATAAAATTAACAATAAAATGGTTAGACTTTTACGAGTTGTTTATAAAAGCTCCAATCTCTCGAAAGTGAACTTTTATAACCGGGCCTCATAAAATTCCATAAGGTTTTTACGTTTACCACTTTAAAACTTGCCGATCTAGCTAAAAAGTAAAAGGAATGTGATTCTTACCCAAATCTCTTTGTGATAAAAAATACATATTGTTTAACCCCTAGCTAGATGCATACAAAATTCACGTCTCCACGTAATTATTCAAAGACCTTCTCGAGTTCATTGTGCATCACTTAAGCCGTATTTCGGATCCGCCCATCTCTGGGTCTAAGATCTAATATTAACACTTCAAAGTGATCATCTTATCCGCATTTTAAGCACCGTCTTAAGTGACCAAGTTACAAAGTGATAAAAGATAAAAACACTCAAATATTATATAAACATCCTAAGTTAAACTTACACCCACACCCATACGAGTAATTTAGCTAGACATAATAAAAATAAGTAAAGACATAAAATAATACTGAAATATAAATTGCATTAATGTAAAACTAAATTACAAGTACAATGAAATAAAATACTAGACTAAAAATTAAAGACATAAATTAAAGGCATAATTTAAAGATATAAATTAAAGACATAAAATAAAAATCATAATAATAATAAAAGAAAGAGAGAAGAGAGACACACTAGAGAGTATTGTGTCTTAGATGGTGTTGGGCACACCTCAAAATGGCTCCCCAAGGCCTCTTTATATAGGGGAGAGGAAGGGAGGATAGTACACCCAATTATTACCTTAAGGCTAATTAGTACAAACCTAAAAAAATACAAAAGAAAATAAAATAGAAGAAGGAAGACAACTCATATACAACTATAGAAAATATCTGGAGGAATCTTCAAGCTGCACGTTTCCCAAGAAGCTGTAACAAGGCTGGTAGACTTCCCACAGTGGTGCCACAGTTGGCAGTGCTGTTAGAAAAATACAGGTTTTTGGAATAATACCTCTTCCTTTGTGTTTCATCATCTTTTTAAATTTTTTTGGAATAAAAGAATAAAAACAAGAAAATTGGGTATTTAATAATAGCAAAAAGGAAGGAAATAAATAGGAAATAACTCTTAAAAATAAGAGTTATCATCAAGCCAGAGGTAAAATTAGTCAATCTGAGACTTTTCCTGATCATGGAAAATCTCAATCTGGAAATAATAATCAAGAGCAAATGCCCCAGCCAGAGTATGTAACTAGAAACATGTTGGCAGAGGAGATGGGAAAGTTAAGGAAAACATTGACGTCCATTATAGGGATACTTGCTTGAGTTGAAATGGAAAGAGTAGAAATAAATATTTCTGTTCCAGTTGCTCATAGCAAAGAAGGAGATATTAAAATGTTTCTGACATGTAAATTGCCTACATTCTCTGGAGAAAGAGATCCAGTTAAAGCCATGTGCTGGATTAAAGAGATTGAGTTTGTGTTCAACACTATTAAGTGTCCGAAGACAGATAAAGTTCAGTTTGCTATTTCTGTATTGAAATCTAATGCATTATTCTGGTGGGAAGTCGAGTCTTTGGCTAGAACAAATGTTTTACAAACGTTATCTTGGGCTGAATTTGTGAACAAATTTAAAGATCAGTTTTGTCCCAAGACAGCCGTAAAACAGATGGAGGAGGATTTCCTGAAATTAGGGCAAGGTTCTGAAACTGTTCGGGAATACACCGAGAAGTTCATCGAATACTCCCGATTTTCTGAGCATTACATTTCATCAGAATCAAGAAAAGTGGAAATATATATTTAGGGTTTAAAGACTTCAATTCGAGAAATTGTGATTGCTATGAATCCTACCACTTTTTCATTGACCTCGTGGATGCAACAGAGGTCACTGAAAGAAATAAGAACATGCAAGAAGAAGGAAAAATTGTTGACAAGAGAAAATAGGAAGGACCTTCATCTGATTATCGAGGGTCAAAGTCAGTAAGATATGATAATAGATCTGTGCAGAAAGTTAATGAAAAAGCATGTGGCCGATGTCGATAGATTCATCAGGGTGATTGTAAGACGGACCTGAGAAGATGCTACAAATGTGGTGAGGCGGGTTATTTATCAAGAAGCTGTCCGGTTACTAGGAGATGCTTTAATTACATCTCACCGGATCATATTCGACTGAACTGCCCATTGTTAAAGACTCCGTAGTTGACTATAGGAAGTAATGCATCAAGTGCCCGTGGAAGACCCATTCTATCTAGAGGAGGGCAAGGAGGGGCGCAGGGTCGGTCATTTCTAACGACAAAGAATGAGGACAAGGTTACACCTAACGTGGTAACATGTATATTTCTTCTAAATTTCGTACATGCTAAGGTGTTATTTGATTCAGGTACACAATTTTCGTTCGTGTCACCTTCATTTGCTGAATCTGAATGTATGATTTCGGTGCCACTTGACAATATATTAGTAGTTGACACTAATAGTCAATAACCTGTTGCTTATGTGTTTAATAACTGCATAATTGAAATTGAGGGGTGTGGGCTGCCGATTCAACTGTTTCCAATATCGATGAAGAAATTCGACGTTGTAGTGGGAATGGATTGGTTAGCAGAGAATCAAGCTAGTATTCTGTGCAGCAAGAAAATGATCAGTATTGATCTACCGCAAAAAGGACAAATTGTTATTTATGGTGATCGACAGTATCACCATACTAACTTGTTATTGGTTCTAAAAGCCCGAAAATGTGTTCAGAAGGGATGTCAGAGTTATCAGGCTTATGTGGTAGATTCAAGGAAGGAAAAGAGTAAACAAGAGTTGATTCCAGTTGTATGTGATTATCCGGAATTCTTCCTAGAAGATTTGACTGGTCTACCGCCAGATAGATCTATTGAATTCAAGATAGATCTAGTACCTAGTGTAGCACCAGTGGCAAGAGCACCGTACCGGCTAACGCCGTCCGAGCTGAAAGACTTGGTTACCTAGTTAAAGGATCTTCTTGACAAGGGTTTCACAGATCTAGTACCTCACCCTGGGGTGATCCGGTTCTGTTTGTCAAGAAGAAAGATGGATCAATGCGGATGTGCATTGATTATCGTGAATTGAAAAAGTTGACGATTAAGAATAAGTATCATTTACCAAGAATCGATGATCTATTTGATCAGCTGGTGGGAGCCAGTTACTTTTCAAATATCAATTTGCGGTCAGGATACTATTAGTTAAAAGTCAGAGAAGAAGATGTTGCCAAGACTGCTTTCCGAACTCGGCATGGACATCATGAGTTTTTAGTTATGCCTTTTGGCCTAACCAATGCTCCTGCATCTTTCATGGATTCATGAACCGAGTATGTAGTGAATATCTCGATAAATTCGTTATTATGTTTAGCGATGATATTCTTATATACTCAAATTTTGAAGAACATGCTGAGCATCTTCATTTGATTCTTGAGCTTTTAAAGAAAGAAAAGTTGTATGCTAAATTGTCCAAATGTGAATTCTGGTTAAGATAAGTTCAATTTCTGGGTCACGTTATATCTGAAGCAGGAGTGAAGATTGATCCTGCTAAGATTGAAGTAGTAGAGAAATAGGAGGCACCGAGAACTCCTTCGGAGGTCCATAGTTTCCTGGGGTAGGATATTATCAGAAATTTATTCAGGATTTCTCCAAGATTGCAGTGCCATTGATGAAGTTAACACGGAAAAACATTAAGTTTCAGTGGGAAAAAGATCAAGAGAAGGCTTTTCAGTTATTAAAAGACAGCGCTCCAGTTCTGTCTTTGCCAGAAGGATCGGAAGATTTTATGGTCTACAGTGATGCTTCGAAGCTGGGTTTGGGTTGTGTTCTAATGCAGAGGGGGGAAAGTAATTACGTATGCATCCAGATAGTTGAAGAATCATGAGAAACAGTATCCAACACATGACATGGAGCTTGCAGTCGTAGTTTTTGCTCTGAAGATTTGGAGGCATTACTTGTTGGGGACTATGTGTCAGATCTTCACAAATCATTAAAGTCTCCAACATTTATTTAATTAAAAGGAGTTAAACATGCATCAACGATGATGGATTGAACTGATAAATGATTATGATTGCGAAATCCTTTACCATCCGGGGAAAGCTAATGTGGTAGCAAATGCTTTGAGCAGAAAAGAGAAGAGTGGTACTATCATAACTGTGGCTATGATAATGAATCTTTTGCCAGATCTTCATGATGAAATTGCAAAATGTCAGGAGGAGGCTATTAAAGAAGGTAACTTCAAGTCTGAATGATTGGGTAAACTGATTTCCACTACGGAAAATAATAATAAGGAACTTTTGTGTTTTCAAAGTCGAATTTGGGTTCCGTGATATGGGAATACCGGGGAAATTATTTTAAACGAAAGTCATAAATCCCGATATTCTATTCATACTGGCACTAATAAAATGTATAAAGATTTAAAACCATTTTATTGGTGGCCTGGACTGAAGAAAGACATAGTAAAGTATGTAGAGTGATGTTGACATGTTTGCAAGTAAAAGTTGAACATCAAAGACCATACGAGAATCTACAGTCATTAGAAACTCCTATGTGGAAGTGGGATCATATCACGATGGATTTCATAATGAAATTACCTCGAACTACAAAAGGATATGATGCCATATGGGTAATTGTGCATCGTCTGTCAAAATCTACGCACTTCCTTCCTATAAAAGAGAATTATCCATTAAAAAATATTGGCAGTGATTTATATTAAAGAGATTATGACCAGACATGGGATTCCTTTGTCCATCATTTCAGACAAAGATAGTCGATTTACCTCAAAATTCTGGGAAAGTTTTCAGAAAGCTTTAGGTTCTCAGATTCGGTTGAGTACGGCTTGTCATCCACAAACTGATGGACAGAGTGAAAGAACAATTCAGACTCTTGAAGACATGTTGAGGGCATGTGTTATAGATTTCGGGGGGATCGTGGGAAGATCATCTACCGTTAATTGAACTTGCCTACAATAATAGTTACCACTCCAGCATCCAGGCGGCACCATATGAAATTATATATGGTCGTAAGTGTAAAACACCGTTGTGTTGGAATGAAGTGGGTGAAAGAAAATTAACAGGGCCAGAAATTGTTCAAGTCACTTTTGAGAAAATTGAGCAAATCAGAGAAAAGATTAAACCAGCTCAAGACCGTCAGAAGAACTATCCTGATAGACGCCATAAGCCGATTGAATTCTTTGTGGAAGATTATATGATGCTGAAAGTCTCGCCAAGGAAAAGGGTAGTCAGATTCGGTAAAAGAGGTAAGCTCAGTCCAAGGTATACCGGGCCATTCAGAATTTGTAAGCGAATCGGAATGGTTGCATATCAGCTAGAGTTACTAGAGGAGCTTAGTTTGATTGATAACACTTTCCACGTGTCTAATCTACGGATGTGTTTGGCATATCCGAGTCTGGCAGTGCATCTACCAGAAGTCAGGCTAGACAATAAGTTGAAATTTGTAGAAACCCTAGAAGCAATAACTGATCGGAAAACTAAAGTTCTGCGGAATAAAGAAATAAGTTTGGTAAAAGTTCAGTGGCATTATCATGAGGGATCTGAGGCAACCTGGGAATTGGAATTGGAAATGAGAACTGAGTATCCGTGGCTTTTTGATCAAAGGAATTCCAGGACGAAATTCTCTTTTTGATCATGTGAGTATATGTATTCTCATGCATAGAAATGTATGCATAATATTGGGTATATGCATATGTTATGAATATATGCATGAGATGTGTGGGTATGAAGCATGAAATATGATATGCATATGTTTTGAATGCATGCATGAGTTTATGAAAGTATGCATGGAATATGGTGGTGCATGTGCATGCCCTTTGTGTCGCCTTTCTAAATTTGGAAAAAGTATAAATAAAAGGGATGGGTGAAAGGAAAAGTTTTCTTGCCTCTTTTGAATTCTGAGAAGTATATTGTGCGGATTACTTGCATTAGTTTGGAACTAAAGTTGGAATCCTTCTTGCTTTTAAAGTTTGCATAAGGTGAGTGGTTTTAAACATCTTAATGCATATGAATTTCATCTTCTACATATTTAATTCTATTTTGTTCTTGAAAAACATTTAATAACCAGATTAACTTCATTACCAGTCACCATGTTAACTGGATTGCGATAAAGTCCGGTCATGGTAATGACCGCATTAGGGCAAGTCCGGCCATAGGGATGACCGGATTAACAAGTGATGAATTTGTACCCGGCTATAATATTGACCGGGTTGGAGCTTGTCCGGCATAATATTGACCGGACAAGAGTGAGTCCGGCCAAAAGTTTAACCGGATTAGAGTTATGATTTGTTTATCTTATTAAAGTGTTGACCGAATTCAAATATATTGAAAGTATTTTTGGACAGTGTTGTCCGGATGAGGAGTCTGGCCAAAGTTTGTCCGGATTTAGATTGACCGGATATAAAGTCCGGCTGGTTTTAACATGGGATTGTCAAATAAGTTTATTGAAACATAAATTGTTTATTTGTGTTGGATATATTGAGGATATATATATATATATATATATATAGAATTATTGAAACATAAATTGTTTATTTGTGTTGGATATATTGAGGATATATATATATATATATATATATATATTGTTTCTTTCTAAAAGGATAAAGTAGAATTTTACAGCGATTGTTTTGAAACTATCACTGGTTTAAACTATAGATAATGTTCCATCAGGACATTTGTGACTTCGGTCTGTTCTTGTTGGAAATAACCTATAGATTTTGATGAGGAAATAATGGTGACATATCAAGGAGATGTGTACTTTTGGATATAAAGGTGACATTTGTGTATGTGTTTATTGATGCAACATTTACTAATATGTCCATTAAGATTACAATGGCTCTGAATCAATATTTCTTTGTGATTTGAAGATTCAGGAACATGGTTCTTAATGGAAATGGTAGTAATGATGTTATTTGAGAAGAGAGGTAATTGGCTTGTGGCCCGAGGTTTTAAATAACCATGTTACTAATAAAAGTGTTTAGAGATGAGTTATGTGGAACCTGAAAGGTTCTAGCCTGCTTTTGCTAAATAAGATATTTATAAAGTCAGAGATTGGCTTTGAAAATTAGAGGGACATTGATCGATGTGAACTATGTGGTTATGTATCTGTTTACATGAAAAGTTGATTTTAAATAAAGTTTTGGTGATCTTCACTTTGCAATTAAATGGAAAAAGGGATCTCACTAGACCTTCCGGCCTAACCCTCATTTTGTTTTTCTAATATGTATTGCAGGAACTGCTAGGTTACATGTGTGCATAACTGATATGTGTTGAGAGTTTAATACATAAAGCGCTCTTTTTACGTCTTTTTAGTTATAATAATTTCTTTTCATTCCCACTTTGAGTCCTTTTCATTTATTTCTTTAYACTTTTGTTATTATGAAGCTAAATATTGTGGTTGACTTGTTGGTATGTGTGAATGAAGCTAATTGAGAGTTTTTGTGAAAACAGCAAATGCTACAACATTGGTGCAGCGTCGACCTGATTCATGCGCAACTTTTTGGAGGGCTTAATGGATAAGACGTTGACTTTTTGAAGGTGGAGGACAGCTGTAAAAGCTGGATTTTTAGTGGAAAAATATGTTGTTAGACTTTGGTTAAGACTATGTACTTTTTAGTTACACTTTTGTTGGTTTGTAACTTGCTTTTAGAAACCTTAGCCTACAAGTTTATTTATTTTGTCTTCTAGTGCCCCTTTTTGAGTATAAATAGAGGGCTTGGGTGCCTTCTAAACCATCCCTCCATTCCTCCATCCCATTAATCCTTAATTCCATTTTTTTCTTTCATTTACTAGCTTTTGTAAACCCTCTCCAAGGGTGTTCTTAATTAAGTGCTTCAAGTTCATCTTTTTCTTTATTTACATTCTTGTCTTTTATTTTCCGTCATTTATTTTCTCGTCTTTTATTTTTCCGCTATTTACATTCTCGTCATTTACATTCCCATCATTTATTTTATCGTCATTTACATTCCCATCATTTACATTTCCGTCATTTATTTTCTCGTTATTTACTTTACGCAATTTACGTTTATGTCTTTATTTTCCGTCATTTATTTTTTACTTTCCGTTATGAGTAGCTAAGCTTTTATAACTTGGGTGTGAGACGGAAAGGTGAGATTTTCAAACCGAATGAAATGTTTTAAAAAACGACGTTCCATTGTTTCATTTGAGTTTTTATAAAACCAAGCACACTTCTTGACGGGTTGATCACTTGAAAGTGTTAAAGTGCGATGGACTTAGAGATAAGCTATCAATAAGCACGTCAACTTGGATGACATAAGAGGTAGACTTGAGAAAGTTGCCGACAAGGAGACTTGTCATTTATGTTTTTCAAAACTTAACTCCCGACGGGTTGGTCGCTCTTCAAAAGTGTCAAAGTGTGATAGATTTAGAGATGAACTATCAAGAACACGCCAACTCGAATGATATGGGAATCGACTCGAGAGAGTGATTTTTAACAAAGAGATTTGTTTATCCATATATTTTGAAAACACCATCGTGTCACTATCCCCGGTGCGGACACCACATAGAGATATGGGTGGAAAGCTATAAGATAGTGCAATGKTGAAGTCCGAGAGGAATGCCTTCAAAATAGATGGTGGAACTTAGTTTCGAAACACTGCTTGCTGTAGCATTCATATAGCATTGGCTGCTGGAATTTGTGTTTGGGTCTCACCTTAAGTCTTACACCCTTGCTTCTTTTATATATTCTGTATTCTGTTTTGGATCACCTTAAAATCAAAGAAAAGTCTTCAAAATCGCCATCTGAAATCATCTCTTTCATTGGACTCTAATCTAACTTTGGCTACAATCCCTGTGCACGATAATCCGGTACTTGTACCACTTTATTACTTGGAAAGACGACGTTGGGCTGTATTGTATACTTGTTTTTTGCCCCAATTTCATTAAGTCTAGAGGTGTGAAATATAACCGACCAAGTTTTTGGCACCGTTGCCGGGGATTGCTTCGCTAAAGTTTTATTTTGAGTAAATTAAAAGATTTGATTTTTTTAGTACCATCGGAATCGTTTTTAGAAGTGGTGTATGCCACGGTTACATCACGGGGAATTTTTCGAATTTGATCCCGATATTGAGAGAACGTTTCACCATAGGAGTAGGGCTCAAAGAGCATTTTTTGCTCTACTCCCTCCAAATATGGCGTTACCTACCCCAATTATTCCAGAAATACAACATTTGGAAAACCAACCGCCGGGTTTTGAACCAATTCCACCATTCCCAAACTTTCAACAAGGATATCCACATAATGGTAATGATAATAATTTGGACATAGAATCAAAACCTAATGAGCACCAAAGAACACAAACTCCGAACATTATTAATTTGGCAAATTCCAAAAATGGGAGGATCATGGATTATGCTATTATGGAATTTGAGCAATTAAATTCCGGGATAGTTAGACCACATATGACCACTCTCCATTTCGAACTAAAACAGATAATGTTTCACATGTTGCAAACAAATGGCCAATTTGCCGGATTACCTTCGGAGGACCCACATTCGCACCTAAAATCTTTTATGGAAATCACTGATGCCTTTTTGATCCCGGGAGTGTTAAATGACGCTCTAAGAATCACTTTGTTTCCATTTTCCTTGAAGGATTGGGCAAAAGCATGGTTTAACTCGTTAACTCCGGGTTCTGTGCCGTCATGGAGTAATATGGCGGAAATTTTTTTGCGAAAATATTTCCCACCAACAAGGAACGCTAAGTCCAGAAATGAGATCTGTCTTTTTAAACAAATGGACGATGAGGCTGTTCCTGACGCGTGGGAAAGGTTCAAAGAGCTGTTAAGGAAATGTCCGCACCATGGCATTCCGTATTGTATTCAACTCGAGACGTTTTACAATGGGTTAAATCCCATGGCAAAACAAATGCACGATGCGACTGCGGGCGGAGCCTTTACAGCTATGACCTATAATGAAGGATATGAAATCCTAGAAAAGATTTCGGCAAACAATGGACATTGGGCCGACCCACGCGCTCAGTCACAGAAAAAGACTGCGGGGATACATGATGTAGATGCATATACTGCATTAACAGCTCAGCTTACCTCCATGACCAACATGTTGAAAAATTTAACTTCTGGTCAGGGAGGACAGCAAGCTGCTAATACACCAGTCCAAACAGTCCTATCTGTGCAATGTATGTGCTGTGGCGGGGAACACTCGTATGAACACTGTCCTCACAATGCTGAATTAGTAAACTATGTTCATAACCAAGTTAATCCCTATTCCAATACCTATATGCCAGCTGGAAACAGCATCCGAACTTTTCTTGGAACAGTCCCAGTTTAAACCCACCAGTCCATAAACAACAAGGAACTTCTAATTTCCAACCGCAACATCATGGAAACAGTTCTAACTCTCAGAATCACCAACAAAGTTTTCAGAATTCACAACCACCTTTTCAGAATAAACCTCCTCCACAGTCAGAATCATCTTCTCTGGAAGCAATGATTAAAGGACTCTTTGCACATGCACAAGCACAAAACCAAGCTTTAATAAATCAACAAAGTGCGACGATCAGGAATTTAGAGACTCAAGTCAGTCAACTCGTGCTCAACTAGAACAATCGAACCCTTGGTACCTTGCCCAGTAATACAGAGGTCCCTAGAGACCT